CTAGCCAAGAGCTGCCCTGGTTGTCAACTTCAACAGAATGAAGCCCGCAAAGTACCCTCACACCCCTGGGAATGGCCAACCACACCTTGGCAGAGAATCCATTTAGATTTTGTTGGGCCGTTCCTAGGACGAATGTTCCTTATTATTGTAGATGCACATTCGAAGTGGCCTGAAGTGGAAATGATGCCATCCACCACATCGACGCAGACCATTGACCGACTCCAAACCATTTTTGCCCGATATGGACTGCCAGCACAGGTGGTGACCGACAATGGGCCACAATTTACATCCGCAGAGTTCCAACTATTTTTGAAGACTAATGGTATCAAGCATATTACCACGGCCCCATTCCACCCTGCGACCAACGGTCAAGCGGAGCGTTTTGTTCAGAGTTTCAAACATGCTATGAAATGCGAGAAACAAAGTGCATCCCAGCTGTGGCAGCTGAAAACCAATATGGCAAAGTTCCTTTTGGCTTACCGGCCAATACCCCGCTACGGACTTCACCTCCATTTGGTGAAACCTGATTTACAAAGGAAAGTGATGAACAGGCAAATCGATCAAGCAGGGAAGAAAGGACAGTCCCCCACACGTCAGTTATCCATTGATCAGACTGTCATGGCACGTAACTACAGTGGGAAAGACAAGTGGCTACTAGGCATAGTTCGAGCTCAAACGAGACTCCTTTCATACGAGATAAAATTTGGTCCAAATCGAATTTGGCGACGTCACATCGACCAGCTTCGAGCCGCTAGTGTGGAAGTAAATGACCAGAGTGATGATACGGCTGAACCTCATCCAGAGCTCGGAGAGACTCGCCAGAATATTGCACCAGCAGAAGAAATTGTCGCAGAGCCGGATATCGAACTAGCCACGAATCCACTAGTCAGAAGTGCAACAACAAGAAGCCGGTAGGGCTACAACAGGATCTGAACAACGTTACCCGACTAGATCACACCAACCACCCGAGAGGTGGGGTCTTAACTGTTTGATCCGAAAACTGTTTAAGAAAACTACATCGAGAACTGCTTTATTACTTACTGTTATGGTTAGCATAATATTTTATGATACATTCCTTAAGAGAAGAGATGGTGTTAGATATATAGATATAGACGGACAGCGGTCATACGCACGGACATGCGCATTAGATATGTAGATCGTCACTAGATCGGCCATGTTTATGTATTATTCATATTTTGTTAAAAGTATAATCTAAATACACGAGGATCAGAATCCAATAAGAATCGCCAATTTTGCGTAGGTTGAGTCACGATAATGATATTAAAGCCGGTTTTCCACTAGGCGGAATTTTGCGCGCAAAATTCCGCCTAATGAAAACCGGCCTAAAGGCTGTTTTCCACCAGCGGAATTTTTCGCGCGGAGCGGAATTTCTCTTTGTCTTGTGATTTCCCGGGTGGAACTAATTAGAAAAGACAAAAAGAAATTCCGCTCCGCGCGCAAAATTCCGCCTAGTGGAAAACGGCCTGTAAGGCAAACCGGCTTAATGAGGCTTTACGTTCGCTTATGTACTTCCGTGCAGGTCAACTACAGTAGAGTATACTTATGATTTATATATGTGGTTTGCATGCAGGTATAAACTATTATCAACTGGCCGTTGAGAAAGATCGTGACTCTATTTTTAGGACCATATGGAAACCAGGCTTAAGAATTAATAATAATAATCGTGGATTAAACACTTTTTAAACTTTCATGTGTGAGAAGAGCGGTTGACATGTTTTGATCGGCCCATCCCATTTAACTATTTGGCTATATTGTGGCTATATATAGCCTGACGTTGACATTGACATATGATTCGAACACTTCAAACATTAATTCGTGTGTGGAAACGGAATATCGAATTACATTGAATATATACCGGGTTTTAAACTATTTTGAATTATAAATATTTCTAATAAGAATATGAATATTTGTATCGGGTATTATAACAATAGCCTATGGTTTCGAGTTCAATTTGGAAAAAAAAACATTCGACGAGTGAGTTTTTGGTTTTTCAAAGACGTTCAAAATTCCATGATTCCGAAGCCGGGACACGAGTGCAACTTGAAACCTTTAAAATGTTTTCCAAATTGCACGAGAAACATACCATTGCTTATTATATATATATATATATATATATATATATATATATATATATATATATATATATATATATATATATATATATATATATATATATATATATATACATAAATAAATTCATCACAAGTGATTTTCTCACTCACATAAATACCACAATTGACAACTTAGAAAAATATAGACGTTTTCAACTGCATGTTTATTCGTACTGCAGTATTTTGTTTAGGTCTTTAGGCGTTTAGGTTTTTAGATTTTTGTCATGCAATGTACTTATCCGGACAGTTTTTCAAGGGAACATATAAATGACGTTATGTTTTTCTGTTATACGTGTTTTGCCTTTAGTGAAACTGGACATACGTTTGCATGTCGGTTTATGCGCAGCGTTAATATTGAATGGTCGGAGGAGTCTATAGCTGCCATTTCCGATGTAGTGTGTATGTAAGGTGAAGTTGCGGGAAAACATGCCATACACAGTATATAGTTCGTTTAAAAAGTGAGATTGCGGGAAAACATGCCACAGCCTAGTTACGTTACTATAGTTGTGAAGAGTTATAAAAATGTAAAATACAAAGCTAGTTTTATATGCTGTCGCCTCTAGGCTTCTGTAATGCACGCCCCAATATCATATAGCAAAAAATCGTGACTGCATGATGACAGTAGCCTGCGTAGCTCGCCTTCATTGGTGACAGTTCAGTAAAACACAGGAACTGGATAATTAATTAAGAGCGTGCGGCTCGTCATGTACGTGTTGCATTCGCGTACGTTCGAACGAAACGACAGAAACGGAAAGAAACGACATTGACGCTTGCGGAAAGAAACGACGTTGACGCTTGCGGAAAGAAACGTCATTGACGCTTGCAGTTGCACGTGATACGCGATTACTTCACGCAAAAGAGCGACAGTTGCTTTTGCATGACATTTAGGCAATGCAATCACTAAATTCCAGCCTAGACCTAGGCCTTCTAGTCTTATTTATATTTTTTCATATTCAGCGCTTTTTCACATGAAAAGACTGGGACTAGGTGATTTGGGGGCGGGGCGGAGGAACCAAGCCTAGAAGGCCTAGTTGATTTCCCAACAACATGGCCAAAACTGCCCTGAAACTGCCCTGGTTGCGAAATGCCCAATTATTGCGTTCTCAAACAGAACTACTTGCAACTTAACGGCGAATTTAAACCGATACAGGTAAAATAAACTCATTTATAGTATAAACTTACTATTTTTATTTGTATACACGTCTAGAAAATCGGGGTTTTTATCATAAAGTTCGAAGCAACACTATTATTTAAGAGAGGATGTCCACAAAAATCAAACATAAAGCGGCCACGACTGAAAAATCGATTTTGCTCAAATTTTGC